CCCCCCCCCCCCCCCCAAAAACAAAATCGAGCCGGCTCGTGTGTTAGAGGTTGAATGTAATTCTGTACTGCACTTTGACTACAGGGATAGACACACTAAATAGATATTCTTCCCCGATATCGGACCAAGCCATTCCAATATGTGTTCTCTCTCTTTACAATAACGTTTCCCTCTAGGCGCTTATTAAGTTTGTTAAATTCTGAACTCCATTAAATCTCCGCTCCCTCCCCCCCCTCGCTTTCCGAAGCATGGAAAATAGCTTGCATACTGCACTTTGACTACAGGGATAGACACACTAAATAGATATTCTTCCCCGATATCGGACCAAGCCATTCCAATATGTGTTCTCTCTCTTTACAATAACGTTTCCCTCTAGGCGCTTATTAAGTTTGTTAAATTCTGAACTCCATTAAATCTCCGCTCCCTCCCCCCCCTCGCTTTCCGAAGCATGGAAAATAGCTTGCAAACGTCTTTCCATCAAAAGTTTGGTTTTTTTAAAAACCCTTTTATTAAAAAAAGGGGGTGGGGGAGAGGGCTCTACCAAAGCGAAGCTATCTCTCTCTGTGTCTGGAATATAAATACAAGGGGGGCGGGGGGGGAGGATACATTAGGATCCGGATAATAGTCTTAAAAATACAGTAGAGGCGGGTTATTTCACTTATAATACTGACCTTTTAATAGTAAATTAACACGGTGCCATATATACACACACATATACATTCTCCTACACGTTACAGTGCATTACAACGTTAACCAGAAAGCAATTGTCTTTTTTTTTTTGAGTTATGGATGGGCAGCGAAGTCCACCGGAGTCCGGTTCCGAGGAAGAGGGGGGGGATTAAGTGCAAGTCCTAGCAGGAGCATTTGCACTCCGAAATGATGGGGTACTGAATGGGTATCCATGTGCACCTCTGCCCCCCCCGGCGCTGGCACCGCCACCTCAAGATGGTCAAATGCACCGACTTGGCAGGCTTGCAGAGCATGCCCTCGGGCACCGAGCAAGACCTCTTGCTGTAGCAGCTGCCCACTTTCACGAAGCGGGGCCAAAAGCGGCTTCCGAGGTCGTTCCACGTGTAGAGGACCGGGCAGAAGATCTGGGACCAGAGCCACATCTGCAGCTTCCTGCGCAGCTTTTTGCTCAGCCGGGGCTTTTTCCCCGGCGGCAGCCCCTCGTGAAACTCCAGCCCTTTGATTTCGCTGGGCATCGCCCCCGAAGGTCTCTGCCGGAGCAGCAAGTCCAGCTCGCCTAGATCCTCGCCCCCCAGCCGCTCCTCGGGCAAGGAGACGGCCATAAAGTTAGGGTCGAAGTGACCGCCCAGGAGGCTCCGCAGCAAGGTCTCGTTAAGATCCTTCTCCTTGGGGTCAAAGAGAGGGTCCGGGTGCTCGATTAGATCCACCAGGGGCAAGTTCTCGCTGGGCGCCGGGCGGATGTGCAGATAGTGCTGGCTAGCGCCCTGCCCGATCCGCAGGGCCAGCAGGACCACCAAGGCGTACAGAGTCACAAGGCACGGGGACTGCTCCATCCTCGGGCAGATCGGCGAGGGGGTAGGGGAGGGGGAGGCAGGCTCACCAAGCAGCGGAGGGCGAAGGCATCAGCCAACTTGTCCGCGCCTATCCAAGCGGGGTTGTCTTGAGGGGCGTCCTCCCCAGCGGGGCCCCCCCGCAGGCGGCGCCCCGAAAGGCAGGAGCCAACCCCCCTCCCCCTGGCGACTCCTCTCTCCTGCGGGCGCCTTTGCAAATTCTCCGGCAGCTTTTTTTTTTTAAACCCTCTTTTTAAGACCTTCCTTTCCCAGGGAGGGAGAGAGCAG